TGGTGATGGTGGTGGTGGTAGTGATGGTGGTGGTGGTAGTGATGGTGGTGGTTTGTAGTGATGGTGGTGGTGGTAGTGTGGTGGTGGTGGTGGTGGTGTGGTGGGGGGTGTGATGGTGGTGCTGGTGATGGTGGTGCTGGTGATGGTGGTGGTAATGATGGTGGTGGTGGTGGTATTGATGGTAATGTGGTGATGGTGGTGGTGGTGGTGGTGGTGGTGGTGTTGGTGGTGGTGATGATGGTGGTGGTGGTGGTGGTGGTGATGATGATGGTGGTGATGGTGATGGTGGTGGTGGTAATGATGGTGGTGATGGTGATGATGGTGGTGGTGGTGGTGGTGATGGTGGTGGTGATGATGGTGATGATGATGGTGGTGGTGATGGTGATGGTGGTGGTGGTGATGGTGGTGGTGGTGATGATGGTGGTGGTGGTGGTGGTGATGTGATGGTGGTAATGATGGTGGTGATGGTGGTAATGATGGTGGTGGTGATGATGGTGGTGGTGGTGTTGGTGGTGATGATGATGGTGGTGATGATGATGGTGGTGGTGATGGTGGTGGTGATGGTGGTGGTGTTGGTGGTGGTGATGATGGTGGTGATGGTAATGATGATGATGGTGGTGGTGATCACTGCGGGAACGTTAACCTCTTAACTCAGTGTCGTCATGAGTCATACAGATCGTGAACAGTGTATTAGTTGATAAGATAACACAAATATTATTGCATTGCCTTGAAGGTGAGCTTAGAAATAACACATCACGTCATTTAATCTATCAAATAATATAATATTGTATTCTAGCATACAACAAACTCATACAAATAACGTTTCTCCCCATACAACGGCACACATCGTCATGCCTCAGGTAATGCCGAAAGTTAACAAGAAGTGTTGTATGTCCACATAATACAGCGGACAATAGCAGTTATTGGTGATTAAACAGACACCAGAAAGTATAAATTATCTGCCTTCACATAATGATGATTGTTTACTGTGCCCGGCGCTGACACCTCTAGCCTCTTCTCCGGACGTCACATCACCTGGTAATACAGTCATTGAACCTCTATTTATTAATCTATGTGAAACTAAAAAACGAAAGGAAAAAACAAATACAGATGTAACTCCTACATACGGAGGTATCATTTCACAGTACTGTAATCAGACGGAGAGACCCTCGCACCTCCCGCTATCACCCCTGGGGTAGGTGACAGTTGCTTAGGTTTCAGCAGCAGGAGGAGGAAGAAACATGGAGGAACACAGAATGACTGATGCATGTGTGTGTGTGACTTGGGGGAGGGGGGGAATTGTCGTATTATCACATTGATATTGAAACCGTTTTTATTTAGTCAGAAAAATATAGATACAGAGTAGATGATAATAATAATATTAACATGACTGATCCAGTTGAGAGCCTGTGCTCTCTTCAAGACACCTGATATGTACTGTACATTTATCTCAAGGAATAATTATGTAACATTTAGTATCATCTGGAATAGTACACATAGCATGGTGATAGTAAGAACGTATGAGAATGTTACCACGACTACCATTTCGTTATTTATTTATTTTTTATTTTATGCTTTTACCTTTATATTATAAGTATATACAGTACATATCTTACAGTGGAGTTGATATACATTAATATGATAAGTAAGGGAAGCAGTACAACATGGTCTGTATTAAGGTGAAACAAGGGAACAGAAACAGTGAGGATCATGCCATGACGGCAAATATATAATTACACTGGTCGACAAACTTTGGGCTTCGGAGTTGAATGGTTTTCTCTTTATGGATTTTGGGACGCTGAAAATGATTATAACCATAAAAACAGTTGATTGACAAAGTTCCAAAAAATTTAATATTCACATTTTGTATTCAAGTATTGGGGGCATGATGAAGACTGGGGCGAAATCCTTTTGACAGTCACGAAACTTACACACACTAACATTTTCAGCTGGCATATAGATTACTATCGTCTGCAAATAAGTTGTATATTACGAGTGATCTGGAGTGGACTATATCATTTATGTACAACAAAATCAGTACAGGACCGAGAATGGTGCCTTGAGGGACGCCTCTTACTCGTATCTCGTAAATTCTGTACAGTATATATGCATGTGGTAACACATTCTACTCGCAATTTGTGTTTTGTCTTATGTGTTTATATCCTTGCTTAATATATATCCTGCTTTGTATCTGCACAGGTAACTAGTTAACCCTCTCCCACCCCTCTAGCTCCTCTACACTCTAACCCTCCCAAACCCTCGTATTACTCCGCCACCCACCCACACACTCACCAGCCCCAGTCAATCCCTCGGCCTCCGTCTCCTGCTCATTAGTGCTTATGTCTGATCAGAACCCAATCCAAGCTAGTATACATGTAGCCAATGCCACCCCTTACTGGCGGTAAACTCAACAGACGTAGACTCGTAGTCAAGCAAGAGCATGAAAGCCAGTTCATAAACTTCATCTATGACTGGTTCAAGGATTACAAGTCTGACAGTTATCAAAGTCCCCATGATGATCTTGTAGATCGAACTTACGCATTCTTCACCAACAATGCCTCTCCCCCAAAACGGAGAAAACATGACCACCATCATAAGAACAGTCCACAGCAGTGCTATGATGATCCAAAACTGAAAAACAACCTCGAGGCTAAGGTCAGGAGGATGGGTAACTTGGGTAAGGGTTACAAACAAATTAGAAAACCCCAAATGCTAAAATTGTATCAATCCTCAGACAAAATGCATGGAAAACATACGTCAACAGCCTGCCCCCGGAAACCCTAAAAAGACAAACAAAATCAGAGGTAAAAATTAGTAGACACGTCTACCATCCATTAACTTTATGCTGGGCAAACAGCACGATGAGTGTGATGTTCCTTTACTGAGTGGGAGCTTGACGCCGCCCTCGCCAGGGGTACATCCACTACTCCTGGTGAGGACGGAGTCACCTGCAATATCGTTAGAATCTTAAGGCGTGTGCCGGGCAATCCATGATCGACATTGTACAATGAGTCATGCCGAGGGCCAACTTCACTCGGGGTAAGAGTGTACATAACTGCATCATCACACTTTTAACTGTACATGGTGATGAAAGGCACAGATACACCTCATTTCTTGACCTAAGAGCTGCATTTGATATTGCCAATAGGCAACATATATTGTAAGAACTAGTCAAAATGGATATAGGAGGTCGGCTGTTATTGGATAAGTGGTTACCTCACCACCAGGAGGGCTGCTGCACTGTTTCAGGGTTACAAAAGAAGTTAAAGATACGCAACTTGGCACCCCCAAGGTGGAGTACTTAGTCCCACTTTGATCAATGTTCTTATGAATGCATTATAAAATTCAATACCAGACAACCCCAGCAATGTCACAATCAACTATTCTGATGATATTCTATACATACTAAAACTCATCGTGAAATACAAACCACCCTGAACCATGTACGCGCAGCCTGGGAGAACCTCGGTCTTATTATCTCCACTGAGAAAACTAAGGTGTTCAACAAACAAGCTGGTAACCGCAACGCGGCCCCGCCAAGTTCAAGATAGGTAACAACACTATTGACAAGTCACTTTTAGATATGCTTGGTGTCTCTATCACTTGTACGTTACCTGCCATACAACAGGTTCAACCCATCCTGCTTAAACTATCTTTAGGCTGTAGTAAGAGAGCGACTCATTGGATAGATCTTATAACTAAACTTGTCTCATTTCTCGCCGAGTTTTTCATTCGTTAAAAAGAAAGAATTATATTTAAAAAAAGAAGTGTTGAAATTAATGAAGGACGAAACTGTCTCATATTCATTGGCGTTAAATGAGGAAGTGGCTATTAATTGTTTACAAGAAGAAGAAGACGAAGAGAAGGAAGAACAAAGAACAACAAGAAAAAGAATAGGAGGACGAAGAGGAAGAGTAAAAAAGAAAAGAAAAAGACGAGGAAGAACAGGAAGAGTAAATAGAAAGAAATAAAAGAAGGAATAGGAAGAGGAATTGGAAGAAGCATAGGTGGCTCCAGGGAACACACACACTTGGCCTCCTGTTAATGTTATGGACGGTGTGATGGACAGTGATGATGTACTGGAGGGCGGAATGGTGATGGAAAGGTGATGGAAGGGTGATGGGAGAGCGATGGTGTGGTGACGGATGGAAAGGTGATGGGAGGGAGATGGGAGAGTGATGGTGTGGTGAGGGATGGAAAGGTGATGGGAGGGTGATGGAAGGGTCATGGAAGGGTGAGGGAAGAGTGATGGCGTGGTGAAGGATGGAAAGGTGATGGGAGGGTGATGATAGTAGGGTTATGGAAGGGTGAGGAAGGGAAACATGATGGTGGGGGGAGATGGTTCGTTGGGGGATAAATGGAAAGAAATGGGAGGGTGATAGTAAGTAATTGATAGAGAGACGAGAGAGGGGAGGGGAGGATGATGCAATGCTGATTGGAAAACGAAGTTGGACTGCAGGATGGAAGGGTAACAGAAGGGTGAATGGAAGGGGAGTAATGATGCAGTGAGAAAGAGGGGAGGAGGCGGCAGAAGGGAGAATGAAGAGATAATGCAAGAGAAAAAGAGATGATAAGGATAATGGACTCTCAAACGTTTAGTGGTTGACTGAGTTTAGGACTTGTCTCAACCCTTAATTAATACTTCCAGAAGGACAACATCCAAGACTGTCTCTACCCCACAGCAGATAACAAGAGTGACTGGCTGTACTCAGAAAGACACTCAGCATTTACTCAGAGCTGTGACTTGTAAAAATGAGTCAGTTTACCATATTTTTATCTATGTTCGCTGCAATGACTTCCTCGTTGCACTGTGTATGTGTGTGTGTGTGTGTGTGTGTGTGTTGGCTCCTTGCAACAGGTGGGGGCGGGAAAAGATGGATCACTGACGAAATGTAAACATAAATCGTTCTTCCACTGTGGCTGAAGGAATGACACCTTTATCAGCGTCGATTATAACTTTAAAATGAAACTGAGGCAAAGAGAGAAGACCACTGACTTACCGCTATAAATTATGCTGAGGAAGTTAATGTTTCCAAGCCGAATCTGTCGCACTAACAAGCTGAACGTGAGTCGATTTTAAACAATTTGGTTGTCTGTTATCTTGGCGTGCCTCCGTGTTGCTCAACAGACAGCTGTTATCAGGGCCTTACAAGTGCTATCTGTGAAAAAATAAGATAATTAGTGAGTTTTTATACATTATTATATCGATTTTTCACGTAATCAGTTAACGTTATCATACCTCTTATCATTAATATTCTTATTATATTGTAATTGACAATGTTATCACTCATTATGTAAAAAAAAAAAGCGACAATAAGAAAAAGGGAGAGACGCTATACTACCGACTAAAATCTCCTTAAACCATGGAATATTTTTTTTGTTTACTTCACCGACTTGTCAAGGCATCTCTGTTAATGGGAGCGCACCAGTCGACCACTTCAAGAACGACTAATCCGTTTCATCCAGTACACCCAATGTAGTGAAATTAACCAAGTCTTCACCTACACTTCTGACGACATAATACACCTACACAGTACACAGCGCCATCTCATCTTTCTTACCTCCTAGACTGTAGTATCTCCAGTTCTCCATCTGCTGTACATCCACTGACGAGATAATACCCCTCACCAATACAGACACACCCACAGACTGACGTAAGGACATTGATGTTATTCACGAGACAGTCAAGGTGTGAATGTTAACCTCTGATCATCCTTCAAGCCACAACTTTCTAGATAAGGTGAACGATTAGATAATTATCACGTTGTTGTGTTGTTATCTGGTGCTTAGGGAGAATACGTGGGATTAAGGGTTAACTTATTAGGTCATTCGCTCTTATGCAGTTCTTTACTGAGTGTTAAGGGGGCGGTACAGTATATACTTATCTATAAGCTGTACTGAAAACTAAGACGTGCGTCATTTTTTCGAGTGACGGTTGCCAGAAATTTTAAGTTTTATTTTTTAAATATCTTTGAAAATACATGTAAAAAGTGAGAAGGTAATTAGCTTTTTCTTTATTACATTTCCAAAATTAGTTTGAGTAAATGCCCCTGAACCTGTACATCAGTCTAAGTTACCTTCATTTGAGATAGATGAATTTTATGGCAAATTTAAATTTCCTTAAAACTAGTTGATAGAGATGGGACGAAATATTCCTCTCTAAATATTTTCACATTTTACCTCTTTCAATATCCTTCAAGGTTATATTGCTAAATAGGTCTTTATCTCTCGCAAAACGTCTCAAGTGGTGACTAAGTTATTAAATGGAGATACCTGGTGACGTCAGAGGTTACGTGTGTAGGATTATAATAACGGGTATGTTTGTGGTAACCAGAGGTGTAATGGTCACCATGCTCGCCTCGCAGGATGAAACTATGGGCAAGTTTCCTTAGGCCATTTGCCTCTGTCTACCCAGCAGTAATTGGGGACCTGGATGTTAATCGATTTTCGGATCGTGTTCCGGAGTAATGGTTAACCAGTGCAGTTGGTGAGTTGTCCGGTCTTGTTGAATTATTTCTTGACACTGGGTCACGCAGCTCGTTAACTTAGGGTGTGGTTGTTGTGTTGGCGACAGCTTCAACACCTTAAACAAATTCACGCCTATGTGGGCCTAGGGCCGGTCATCCTCGGACACGAGGGGCAACCATTATGTATGTGTGTGTGTGTGTGTGTGTGTGTGTGTGTGTGTGTGTAGAACTAAACTGACCTAACCTAACCTAACCTAACCTAAATCTGGTAAAAATTAGTTATGTTAAGAGGGGGAAGAAAGTCTTAAATTAAATAAAGTACAGTTTACTGCAATGAGCTAGTAACAATAAGAACACAATCATTCTTAGTAACAGAGGCCGCTGCGTGGTATGTACAGTACAGTATGAATCATACAGTTGCACCTAAAACGCGTGACGTATATACATTACCGATGATTAAATGTGGAGGTCATATCCGTCCTCGTTACGTAACCCATAATCCCTACTATAACAAAAATAATAATCCCCATCACCTCACAAGGACAAGGTAATGTATTACTCAGTAAAACCTTGACGATCTGCTCACACAACCTAAAGGCGCGTCCACACGAGCGTACATTTTGTCGTCAACATGTGATCGACAAGTGGAAATGAGGCACAGGGTTCCGACTCTGGTAGGGTGTGGCCGCGTGCACTAGACCGGCGTTTCTTCTTGTTGATCACATGTTGGTGACAAAATGTACTGTACGCTAGTGTGACCACATCCACACCACACACTGCCTTTTCACTCTTGTTTCGATATCGATCAGGTAGCTAGCTTCTTAATTACAGGTATAACCTCTCAAAGTACGATATTTGACCCTTTGAGATCACAATGAGGAAATTAATAGAATCAATCTGGATAATTAAGAATACATGCATGTTCTTGTTTGACTGTAAGAATGATCTTTACAGCAGAGGTCATTTTGAGGCCAGATTATGACATTTCAAATAAAAAGGTACATTGTTCTCTATGTCGCCAGAGTTCAGCATATGATCTCAAATTCGACCTCTATTGTGACCTTTCCTTCCAAAAGCTCATCTGGAGGTCAAATTATTACGTTAAAAAGCAAAAACATATTAAATTGAATTATCAATTTGCTCCGCGAGGGAGTTAGTTTATTGGGCACCCCCTTGCATCCTGTGCAAAGCGAAGCGCAAAAGCATTTACAGCGCCTAACAGGGAAGCATGCAGAGTTCTTGCTTACCTTCTCGACTCAGGCATTTAAGGGCGTAAATGCCTGAAGGGCCGTGGATTTTATCGGCAAGTTTCAAAGTGACAGGATGAGTGTGTGGGGGGTAAGGCGTGGCAACTCCCTAATAAGTCAAGTGCCAGCCAATCCTGTCTGGATGACGGATATTGGTCAGAAGGAAGGGGTGTTGGTGACTGTGCTGTGGTAGGATAGGCACGGTGAGGGTGAAGGAAGGCACACAGGCATTGACAGTATTATGAGACAAATAATTTAGTGTGAGTGTGATGACGTGTGCGGTGGTAGTTGCAGCGACGAGGAGGAGGTTGAGAGGTTGACAGACGATGTTCTTCTAAAACATGTTATCAAAATCTCCAGTGCTGTGCCAAACTATGACCTCATATGTGACCTGTACTGTGACTTATAACCTTCAGAGGTAATATGACGTCAAGCTACAATATTTCACCTTAAAAATATGGCCTCGTGTACTGTATGACCTCCAACGCCGCCTCTTTAAATCCTAATGTTAAGTTTGAGTAGAATTTAATGTTATTATCAGTTGGTGAATCCAACTGATAACAACATTAGCTTCTATTCCCGATAATCACCTCACACATGACTCACCTGTCGGATACGCGAGTGAATGTGTGAGTACTATGAAGGTCGGCCGGTTACATATCATAAATCGGTCCTCGCTAATCCGAACCTTTCCTTTTACCCAACTTGTTCTTTGTTCCCCAACGTTTACACACAAATATAAGGCTGGGATTATCAAGATTACACTGGTCATATACTCATGTTGTTCCTCTTTGTTTAATATTTGAGAGACAAACACCTTTATAATACTCATAACAAAACAACATCAGTAGACAAGTCATAATAGAAATGATGTTACTCACTGTTAAAACAAACCAAACAGCTTGTTAAGCTGTTGTTAGTTTTTGTTTTTAATTCAAGTTTGAGTGTAACATCGTTTCTACATTTCGGTCTATTGGTGACTTGTTTTTATCTCATTTGATGTTGTTTTGTTATGAGTATTATAAAGGTGTTTGTCTCTCAAATATTATATAGACTTGTGTTTGTGGTGCTCTCGTCGAAATGATTTAAATAATATTGAAGTATTAGGAGTTACGTCATTACACTAATGACTCTTACCTGTATTTTTGTGACACTTTACCAACACGTTAATGGAAGTCACATGAAAAACTAATTTTCACGTCCGTTTGTTGGCCCAGGTTAAAGTTGGTAAGGCGAAGCGTAGCAGCCAATAACTGTCTGTCTGTCTCTGTCTGTCTGTCTGTTTGTTTGTTTGTTTGTTTGTTTGTTTGTTTACAACTCAATAGACGATATTTACTGGTTCAGATTACAGCGCCGGAGACAAATTATAAAACATTTTATTTATGCTGTGTGTTATTTGGGGTATATAGGTCAAAGGTCATGGAAAGAGTAATTAGAAGATGAGGACAAAATGTGACCTCACTTGCCCTGAGATATAACTCCTACTAAGACTAATACTCGCACAACACCTGAGAAATACTGTACCTGTACTGTAAGCTAAGGTTCGCGCTGTACTGTATCTGCCATTAGTTTACACCGTGTTAGGTTGACGGGGCATAGTCCTGGCATATTGTTCTCACCATAGAGTTGATGGCTTTGAATAAAGGCACATTGGTAGGTCTAAATACACACAGTATATATTTTATTATATTATACTATATAACATATAGTTCTTCTGGTCATCTACAATCATTGTGTCTATACATAGCCTCCACTGCGCTTTATATAGTCCATATGGCTATTCGTCGTTCATGTTGCTATACACAGTTATTGTTGCTATACACAGTTATTGTTGTTATACATAGTTATTGTTCCTATACACAGTTATTGTTCCATACACAGTTATTGTTGCTATACATAGTTATTGTTGCTATACACAGTTATTGTTGCTATACATAGTTCATGTTGCTATACACAGTTATTGTTGCTATACACAGTTATTGTTGCTATACACAGTTATTGTTGCTATACACAGTTATTGTTGCTATACACAGTTATTGTTGCTATACACAGTTATTGTTGCTATACACAGTTATTGTTGCTATACACAGTTATTGTTGCTATACAGTGTTATGGTGTCATTTTATAACACTTCTATATTGTAGTTAAGTTGTGTAACTCTTAAGTGGTAGGTTCTTGAGGTAAAACATTTATTAGTCTTTCCTATGATTTATTTAAGTTACACACTATGTACACTGATAACATCTGAGAAGATATTAGGTGAATCTTCTCCAGGGAAGCCTGAGAAACACTTGTAGGTTACCCCTTGAGTTAGGTGATGCAGTTTCCTGTTCATAAATTGCAAGTGATCTGTCTGACCCAGGAACTATTAGCCCTGAGTAAGCTGTTAGCAACCCGGTAGTAACTATGTTTGTCTACATTAACCTCATTAAAGTTTGACCTTTGAGGAAGTTGCTAGATCAGGCCTGACTAGCTTCAGAGACTCTGGTTACCCGGTGTGGTGCCTAACACGCTCGACCTCTAAGGACGTGGTGAGCCAAACACTTCATGACTTGTTACGCCTATGAATATATATATTATATATTGTTATAGACAGTTATTATTGCTACAGGTATATACAGTTCATGTTGTTATACACAGACCTTGTTGCTATACACTGACCTAGTTGGTATACACAGATATTGTTGCTATACACAGTTCATGTTGCTATACAAAGTACTAGTGGATATACATGTTTAATACTCGTACATCTGGTAACCGTCATGAACCAAGTCTCCCGACCAGAGAATGTGAATGAGGAGCCGAAGCGACGTGTCTTGAGTTAGTGCTGAGTCGGAGTGTAGGAGCGTTGAGTCATGTAACGAGGGGAGAGGTGTGAGAGGTGAGAGGGTGGGGTGAGGTGAGAGGCTGGGGGAGAGGGTAAGGGGTGAGAGGTTGGGGAGAGGGTGAGAGGCTGGGCGAGA